GTTCATAGAACAGGCAAATACCACCTCTGGCTGGCCCTTGAGTGGGCTGGGAATGGGGATTTTGCAGTTTCCTTGCCCACCAAGCCACGCCCACAGAACCAGTAGTAAAAAAAAATTGAATTTCACCACTGGTATAACCCACAAAAAAATGACTCTTGAGTGATGCGCAACAACGAAACAAAGAGATCCAGAAAAAGTGTTGCTCTTTTTCCTAGAGGATGCTCGGGATTTAATGCCACTCCGATGTGGTAGCCCGGGCCAACATCTCAGTGAACTTAATTTCACTCTACTATCCTGAAGGCTTAAAACCAGATTTGCAAAGGACCTCTTGAAAACTCCAGCGGAGTCCTCAGCCGTCACCTTCTGGGTAAGGTAAGGTTGAAGAAGCTTCCAAAGATAAAAAACCTCCCCCCACCCCCCACGAACCCCAAAATAGCCCACTTCAGGAAAAAGCAATCACCTCTTTGCAGTTCTCCGAGTTGGAGAAGTGAATCAAGTCATCGTTATACATTTCCTGGGTGTTGATGATGTCGCTGTATTCCTTCTGGCTGAGATCTTCGGGGTTGATGCCGTTGGCCCGGAGGAATTCCTGATAGGCCACGCTGAAAGCTTGTCCGATCGATTGAGCGATCAGCTGGGCCTTCAAGAGAAGGAGAAGAAGGAAAGGGATCGGCAACTTTGGAGAGGAACAACATACTTGTTGGCCAACTGAAGGGACTGAACTCATCCTATTCTTGAAACTGGTGGAATTCCCCCGTGGACAATGCGGTAGAAGTGGGACCTGTTTGGATGAGGACTTGTAGGGGAAAAAAAAACATTGAACTATGCAAACTTTGCAGGACTGGCTAATAAGAACAGCGTGGTGGTCCCAATTATTCAGGGTTAGAAAGTAAGACAGGAGAAAGAAACGCAACTTGAGCAACTTCAGTCCCCTTCCTTAAATAGAGATCACCTTATTTATTTTTTTAATCCTTCACCACCAACGCTACTTGGGAGAAAACGAATTTCTCTGTTTTTAAGACGTTGAAGCTTTCTTTCAACCAATATTCTCCAGGAGTCCAAATAAAAGAGGAACCTTTTTCTCCCATAATGCATAATTGGGTTTGGAAATGGGCTGTCTTCAGACGTGGCGGCAGCCGTAAGATGAGACGCATTTCCAAGCCCATTAGACTCACTCTTGGAGTATCAGGTTATCAGAGGCAATTAGTTCTGATGGCTCTTGCAATCACCTGATGGATTAGACAATAAAAGACAACCTATAATTCCACAGTCCTATGGGAGCTCTTACTCCAGATTCCTACTCTACTCGGCTATTCTTTGAGGTTAGTTGGATATCAGTTTCCCATAACTGCGAAGAGGTCTGCCATCCAGGGTTGAAATTATGGAATGTGGAGTCCTATCCCTGTGGAGAATATTGGACCAATATCTGGAAGGCTTCTATCCTGGAGAGAATTTATGGGAATTGGGGTTCGGAATATATATATAAAAAGCCAGGAGATCAATCAATATGGAGACCTGGAATTTATAGAGAGTTGGACCATAAAATTTGATGCTGTAGAACTCCTTCTGCCCTCAGTCCTTTATTCCAGTGTTTCTCAACCTTGGCAACTTGAAGATGTCTGGACTTCAACTCCCAGAATTCCCCAGCCAGCATTCGCTGGCTGGGGAATTCT